CGTCCATCCTCATTCACTGTACTTCAACCTAACTTCCACATCTTCCCTACAGTAAACAAAGGTTGGGTGACATTGCCGCAAACAGCACTGTCAGTGACCTTCAACTTCTTTCCAGACTCCTTCGTGAAAACAAACGTCACATTCTGTCTCACGGGCAATGTTGGGGTCACCTTCCCTTGCACATCTTTCAGATGATACTCAAACGTAGAAGCTTCTCCAACTTCTTCTGGCCATTCCATTGGCAGCACATGGCAGTCGGCTCCGCTGTCGAGCACGACCTCACAAGCATCCACTTCTTTCGCTGCTCTTTTCACTTCACTTCCTTGATTAATCATCCTCACACTTCTTCCGATCTCTGCATCCAAGAAACACCATCCTTGGTACCACTCCATCAAACCATCGTTCGGTTCCGTCTTACTTTCCTCTTCTTCATCACTTGCAGAAATATCAAACTCCTCAACTCTTCTCAATTCTCCTTGAACTAAATCCTCAAACTCTTTGCACCATCTCACAAAGTTAGCTTCTTCATCTTCCACCATCTCAACTCTTCTTGCTTGAAGTGCCGCTTCTGCTGTAATCTGCCTCACTTGACCAGTCTCATTCTTCGAAGGAGGGGCATTGCTCGAGGAACTCTTCTCGTACTCTCCTTGGTTGTTTCCTTCCTCTTCCACTTGTCTCACTTTGCCTTTACCTCCTTTACCTTTTCCTTGGTTCTGCCAACACTCAGACGCTTTGTGTCCTTGCTTCCCGCATATGTGACACTCTCCTGTGAATCTTCCCTTCCCGTAGGCACCAGCGTCCACTGCACGGGACTTCGTAACTTCCTATTCCTTTTCCTTTGGTACCTATTCCTTGTCCTTTTCCTTTGTTGTCGTATCCTTTTCCCTTTCCGTATCCTTTGGTTCCTTTATCACCTTTTCCTTTGTCTTTCCCTTTTCCTTTCACTCTATCAACCTCCATTGGTTGTGGTCCATTGTAAGGTGTGTGCTTCGTTGCTCCATCCATGCTGAATGACTGCAAGATGTTCTCTGCATTCCAAGATTGTGTGCTTCTTTCATATTCCAGCAACTTCTTCCTGATGTCTGCATACTTCGTCGTCGGGCTCAGTCCTATCAGGATATGTTTCCTCAACTCATTTGGCAAACCCTTGAGTACTGTTCCGATTTTTCAATTTCTCATCGTAGGCCTTTCCTTCGGACAGTTTTTCGTACTTTGCTACCAGTTTTTCGTAGGTTAGCAGATAGTCTAAGATGGACATCCCCTTCGACATCGGGGGAAAACTCACTAGGGCTTGAGCCGCAAGTCCTCTAGTTCTACTTGACGGCTCCAATTCTTCAAACAACCTTCTCCACACGGAGTATCCATCTTGACTTCCTTCCGACTTTAACAACTTCAATGGCCTATTCCGAAGATATGAGGCCAAGATCGCATACAGCTTGGTACTTCTTTCTCTTTCTCCAACGCTGTACTCTGCTGGCTTCGGTGGAGCCAATTGTACTTTCTTCAACTCCTCTGCATACGTGGGATCGATGAAACCCACGAACACTTTGAAACTAAAACTCCAGTCAGGCCACTGTGAGACCTCTCCCTCCAAGTTCTTTGGAGCAAACACGTCGGGACTCTTCACCAGCTTTGCTGCAGAGTCGTAGCTCTTTGAACTCCCTGAGCCTGCAGCACTAGCCAAGGCTTGCGCTGCGGCCGACAGACTCCCAATCAGAGTCTGAAGGGATCCTCCTGCAACTCCTGCCACTTCGGGCATCGCCATTGGCGTATCACCTGGTGTATCTCCTCCTTGACCACCGTGACCAGGGGACACAGGCAAATCTGCGTCTCCAGCTGGACTTGGTGCGGCCATTCACTGTTTTCTCTGTCTTCCTTTTTGTGACACTGGGGCCCAAGGCTCTTTTCTCCTTGTATTGGGCTCTTCTTCAGCCAAAGGTCTTGGCCTTTGGCTCCGCTACCATAAAACGCTTTACGGGTACGTTCCAAACCCTTTCTCTGAACACCGATATTCGCTCGGCACTTCCTCTGGGAGCATGGACTGTCTCGGGTGCTTCCCTTGAGCCTAAACACCACAGTGAAACATTCGTTCCAAGCTATACAAAACATTTGGTAAACAGCTCAATTACTGAATTACAGGGGCACACACTCCTGAGCGAAATTTTTGTTAGTGTAGCAAGGAGGGGAGCTAGCAGAGAGCTTCGGCTACGACAAGAAAATCAAGAGGCCCCAACTTCAACAGCAACCTAGTTTCGTCGGCTTTCTTGGCTTTGCTCTTGCTTTCTTCGGCCTCGGGAATCTCCTCGAATTGTTTTTCCTAAAGAAAAAACAAACAAAAGCAAAACCACTTGGTTGCCAAAATAATAATGGGTACCGTTACGCAGTGCTTTTGCTTTCATTTTGCATAAGGAGAAGCACAATTAAATAATTCAAAACCAATGGATCACAAAAAGCAAAAGTAATGGGTTCAAAAAAAAATAAAAACAAAAAGTAAAGCAGCAACTGTGTTGTTGAGCTTATTTTGCGTTGCTTGACGCTTTTCTGACTCTATTGTTCTTGCATATTAAATCGCTTTTCTGAGTCCGTACTTTTGGCATTCAAAACGGATTGGTTGGCAAGAAAATCTTTGATTTCTAGTAAAATAGGTTTAGCGTCGAGTTAACAAGAAACATACCTACGAAGCACCCGAAACCTTAAGATTGCAAGAATTCTTCAAAGGTTTGCGCTGCTCTTGGAATCTAGCTCCCTTTTTGCTTGTTGGATTTGCATTGAGGCAGGGGCCAGCTGGGGAGCCTGTGCGGGCTGAGTGGGTTGGATGAGTGAGGGGGGAGGGGAGCAAAGAGGGGGAGAGGGAGGGAGGGTGAGGGTGGGTGGGGAAAGTCAGGGGAAGAGGAGGGAGTGGGGAGATGGGTGGAGAGGCTAGAGGGAATGGAGGGTGGGTGCGTTCTTTCGACTGTATAGGAATCTATAAGGGTTTGCCATAAGGGCTCCATATGAGGGATCTATAGAAGGCTTCTATGTGGTTTCTATACAGAGGATCTATAGATTTCTACAAGGAGTATATAAAGACTGTTTATGATGGCTCCATATAATGGATCTTTCAATCCTTGCTATAAACGGCTCCACTTGTCGGATATATAAGGGGTTCCTACAAATTCTCGTTTATATATCTATAAACCTTTTCTATACGGGCTCTATAGACCCCATAAGACGATAGTGAAAACCGTGATGAAAGTGATAAGAAGATGGTAAGAAGAGAAGTGGATGGGAGAGGAAGTGCTGGAAGGTTAGGAGATATGAGATGGGAAGGGAAGGAGGGAGTTAGGAGTAGGGGGGAAGGAGGCAAGTGAGAGGGAGAGGGTCGATCTTTTACAAACACCGTTAGGGGGACGCTCCTTGCCATGTGTGATTTTTGGATCTGAGTTCTTGCAAAACCTTGGGGGAACCCCCCTTGCGATTTGTGATTTTGCAAATCATTAGTTGTAAAAACTTTAGGGGGGCACCCCTTGCGATCTCTGATTTTGGGATCTAAGTTCTTACAAAACCTTAGGGGGACACCCTTTGCGATTTGTGATATTGAAATGGTTCGATACAAAAACCTTTACTGTTGCGGGACACCCCTTGCGATCTGTGGTTTTGGGATCTGAGTTTTCACAAACCTTAGGGGGACACCCCTTGCGATCTGTGATTTTTGGAGCTGAGGTCTTACAAAACCTTAACGGGATACCCCTTGCGATTTGTGATTTTGGATCTTACTTGTCATGAAAAACTTTGCGGGGACACCCCTTGCGATCTGTGGTTTTGGGATCTGAGTTTTCACAAATAAACCTTGGGGGGACACCCCTTGCGATCTGTGATTTTTGGATCTGGGTTCGTACAGAAACTTAGGGGGACACCCCATGCGATTTGTGATTTTGGAACTTACTTGTCATGAAAACCTTTAGGGGGACACCCCTTGCGATCTGTGGTTTTGGGATCTGAGTTTTCACAAAACCTTATAGGGGGACACCCCTCGCGATCTGTGATTTCTGGATCTGAGTTCTTACAAAACATTAGGGGAACATGTTTGCGATACATCATTTCGGAATCTGAGTTTTTTCAAAACCTTAGGGGGGCGCCCCTTGGGATTTGTGGTTTGGGGATCTGAATTTTTGGGGCGGGGGGGACGGAATAGTCTAGGGGTGGGTTCCCCAAGTTCCATAGCTAACGTGTTTTCTAGCATTTTTCATGCATTCTTGATTAATTCAGGCTTTGTACATACACATGGCCACCACTTAAACGAGGACAAATGTGCACCTAGAGGGATGATGCCTGTTCTACATCAGCACATCCAACATGATTCCTAGGATGACATCTTGATGCCGTTCAACCGAGAAATCTGCGATTCAGTGCTCTTTTTGACTTGGCTCGCATGCTGCACATGCCTTGCGCATGCCACGGAGGCGTGTGAAACTTTGTGGGCAGCTGTTGCTCGGGAGAATTCGGTTCAAAGGTTATTGAGAACATATATAACTGCTGATTGCCATGCTCTGGGTTTGTGGACACCGGGAACGCCTATATAGCCGGCTCGGCCGGCCGCCTTGGCCCGGCCTGGTTTCCAGGCTGGCTTCAGCGGGAACGTCGCACTTGAGAAATCGTCGATCCACTTCGGTTTTGCGATCAGGCGTCAAACTGTTGTAGTACTCGAATGACCAATCCACTGCTGCTGTACATGCTTGTTCCCATGATCTTGTGATTCCTCTTGCTTGTCGCGGGGCACCTCGAGGCTGAAAAGACCATGACCTGGAAGCTTTGCCTTTGAACTGGTCACCAGTGATCAGCTTGATCTGAAGTTGCGGTGCTGCATCTTGAGGTCTGTTGGTGAACCCCCTCGTCCCAGGTGCCACGCTTCGTTGGGGGATGTCGAACTCATGGGGGGCCAATCGTCTGCGAGGCTGCATGTCTGGTCCACGGCCCTAGGTGTGCGAAATAAAGAGGCTCAAACACAACAGCATGCATCACTAGGAGGTAGTAATCGTAACCGAAAGATGATGTGAAGCAAAAGAGGATCGATCTTCTGGCACAGCATGGCCATCTCCTGCAGCTGCGGCGGCAGCGGCATCATCAGCATTGTCAGCTTTGTTCTCCGCCTGCATTGCTTCACCATCTGGGTTCGAAGGCCGTGCATCGTTTGCGTGGCTCTCCTGGTTGCTGTCCTCCTGCTCGTTCTCTTCTTCTTGCATGTAGTTGGTCGCTTCACAAATTTCGGCCTCGTCCTCTTCGTCATCGTCGTTGTCGTCTGCTTTGTCCTGAGTGGCTATTTTTCTGCTTAGTAGTAGCAACCAAGAACTCACAGTGTTGCACAGTCCATTTTAATTTTCATCGCTATGACATTCAAAAAGTACAAGGACATAGTATTTGGAGATCAAGCTGAAACATCTAGCACGTCTGTCCTCGTTTGCTTCTTCAGGCTTCCGGGCTTTGCGTGTGCGAGAAGGAGGATTTTCCAAGATATTCTGGATATAATCCTCGGGGTAGTTCTCAGACTCCAAGAGCAGCTGCCCGCTCCTTGTGCGTAACCTTGTTGCCACCAAGGCCAGTCTGTGAGCAAACTGTGCGATGAAAGCAGCGGGCATGTCCAGGATCGTGTGACTGAGCATGAAGCGTATCGGGCTGAGCCAAGCTTCAGGTCGCAACAACAATCCATGCTCCTCTGAGGACAGGCCAACCACGAGTGACAAGCGGCCAACCTGAGCATTGAACCGCAATGTGGGCTCCACTTTCTGAAGGTCTTTGGGGAAAGCAAAATGCATTGTCTCTTGTACCTCCACACCCTGCACGGTCACATAGCGAATGACGTCGGGGCCGGTCGAGACCACGAACCTGGCTGTCTGCTCTGAGTCATCTGGTTGCCAAAAACAGCTGACCTTCATAAGTCGACCTGCCCATGCCTGCACCGCCATCTTCTCCAGATTGCAAGAGGAATCTGCAGCAAATTCACTCAGCAGAGTGCTGTAAAAAAGAAGACGTTGCATCAGAACATGTGGTTTTGTCATATGAGGGCATGCTTTGCTGGCGGTCAGCTCTGTCATGTTCAGGCCCAGGTCCTTCTTGCCGGAGCGGGCATTCGGCAGAATGCTGCTTCGCAACTTGTTGGCTCGCACGGCACTGGTCCAATCCTGAGATTCCAAAGACACCTTCTCAAGAGGCGACCGCACCCATCCTGACTTGATGGCCCCGGCGCAAATTGACGTTGGTGCCCTCATCTCGTTTTTTTGAGCACGTCGCTCGGCGTCGCGGAGGTCGTTGAAGCATAGTTCATTTGGCAGGCTTGTCAGCAGGCTGCTCTCACGTGACTGCACACGTAATCCAGCTGAAGCCAGACAGAGCTCTTGAACTTTGCGTGCATCGGGATGCTGCGGATCAAATCGCACTGACCTGAGCTGCAAAGGTTGTAGACTCCAGACCAAGCTCACTACACTTCTCACAGTTTTGTGCTCACAATTGACAACAATGACAATGGTAATACTCATACTAGGAAGTATTGTAAAACTGGTAATAAACAATGACAAGAATACCTCGGCCCGTTCTTTTGAACAGGAAGCTATCCTTCAACGCCTAACTCGCTTTCGGAAATACTCTCTGAAAAAGACGACACTGTGGCTGTAACAGAGACCCCTCACCAAACAAAGTACTGTCGGGTAGCTCTGCTTCTGTCAGCATCTCTCGAACCACGGGCCATCGTGTCCAGTTCATGGACTTGAACAGCGCCTTCTTGGGCGGGAGTCGATCCAGGCACTGGATAAACTGCCATTCTGTCCTGAGCCCCTGCAAGAAATTGGCGAAGCGTTTGTCATTGACAGACACAATGGCCCGCCAGGGCAGGGAGCGATGATGATCCGGGATCTCACCCTTGCCTGCCAGCCACTCTGCCAACATAGACACATGCAGCTGCATGGTCTCTGCTTGAATGTCGGGGCTAGGGTTTTAACTGGGGTGATATCAAACAACTCCACCAAAAGAAACTGGTTGTGCAGGGTCTCCATAACAAGTGCTGCAGTCGTGCACCGGTTGCCAGTGCCACTGCATGCTTCACGGAACCTGCTGCGTCTTTCTGGAAGTCAGAAGCCTGAAGCTGGGTCTCTGAAAACTTAACCTTTTATAGTTTTAAATATTGAACTGATTCAAATTCGAGCTCTAGCCTGCATAACATCAGACACCATGCTGCCATGTTGCCACTTGAGCCATCCACCTTCGACAGGGTCCGAAGATTGGAATCAGACTTCGGAGCTTGTCTTGCTTGGACGTGTCTGCCAACACCTGCATAGCTGGCATATTAGTCGGACCCAAAAAGTTTAACTTATGCTGCCAAAAACTCATGCTGCTAGAACCATTTGCCTTCCATGAGGCCATCCTCAAGGAATACGTGTCTGCTGCATCGTCGCTATTGGATGCTGCAGCCAACTCGTACGGGTTTTCGGCGTTCTCGCAGAACTGGTACAGCAACTCCATGAATTGGATATGCCACGTTCCTCAGTTTACGGTTTCTTGAATACATGAACATTTTCACGAAACGCAAACGGCCACTGACAACAGCTTCAAGTTTGCAAGGCACTGTCTTGCCGAACCGCAGCATCATACCAAGCAAACCAACGTCCTTCTTTGACGTCATGCTCCCGTCCAAAGGAATCTTGCCTCGATTGAGGGTTTATGCACTGCACACACAACGGTAGCTGTGTGCTTGACGGCCCTGCCTTCAGTACACTTCAGAACACGGATTGCGGCTGCTGGTGACAGACTGGGAAGGCCCTGATCCCTTGCAAGACCGGCCAAGCAAGACTCAAGAATGTTGCATTGCCCCATCTTGTCCAAGGATTCAATCAGGCGATCTGTGGACTCCTTCCGGGCACGCCCTAAACGAGTGGTGGACCATGGCCCTCGACTGGCGCGAAATGCCTTTGTGGCCTCTTTGATGAGTTCCCGCCTGCCTCTTGGCAACCTTTCAACGCCTTAGCTTGTTTTCGATGTAGCTTGCGTGGCAGATCAGGCCACCACGTACAAAGGACACCTTCATGTGACAGATTGTTCGAATGCTCCGATCTCAGAGCCCTCGTCCCCGGCAAAGACCAAACGTAGAGGAGGGGTCACCATGGGCAGGTGGAAGTCTGGCACACTGTCTCCTGTCACTGCATCGTGCAGAAAGAAGTAGTCTCGCCCCCGCGGAACCCCCAGCAACGTCTTGCCATTTTCGGAAAGCTCATACCTTTCCCTGGCACCACAAGATTCCAGCTTGTTGCCCGGAATGGACTGTCCGAAGTGATACTCTGGAATCAGAATCTGGATGCAATTCCTCGTGGCATGCAGCGGCCTGCCTGTACGACTTCAAGTGCTTGTACGTGGGCCCCAGCTTCTTATCCAAGCCACCGCCCTGAAGGGCCACCTCCAGTGCTTGAGGAACGGTGCCACTCTCTGCGTGGGGATGCGAGTCGGGCAATGTATGGATGAGACCGACGTGCTTTTGTCCGATCTGGAACTGGAAAGACAAGACCTGACAGCGTGGATTTCATGTGACTGGTCTGTGTCACTTGCCAGCTTCGCCCTTGAACTGACAAGCAAGTCCTGCCTGCAGTGCGCAGGCCCTGGCGGCATCCAAGCAGAAGTTGAGCGTCTGCACTTCCCCTGACTGTCCCAACTTGCTCTGAACGAGAGCACTGCTTTTGACAAAGTAACGAATGAGAAATTCACTGGCCGTTGATGCTGCGAGACGACAGCTGTCTGAAAAAAGCCCTATCTCTTTCAGCGAGAGTTCGTCTTTCGTGGTCAGGAACCCACTGGATTTCTTTGCAAAGCGTGAGACCAGCCGCTCTCGAAGCACATTAGATCCACGGAGCCGTGAATGCTTGAGCAAAGGGTTGAAGCTGGAGCACCGGCTTGGCTCGGGACGCGAAGTGAGCAGCGGAGACCCGTCGGACTCCAAAAATCTCTCTATGCTCTGAGCGAAGACATGGACTGCTCGCTTGGTGATTCTGCTGCCCACGGTGCTTTCTCGAAAAACACTTTCTGCCTAACTGTGAGAAGAATGTAAACCGCCTTGCCCATAGAAATGTGGAGCCGGTCATTGGCGCACAACCTGGACTGGTGATCTGTTGGAGGCGCACACACACACAAACACACACACACAAACACACAAACACACACACACACACACAAACACACACACACACAAACACACAAACACACAAACACACAAACACACAAACACTCAAACACACAAACACACAAACACACAAACACACACACACACACACACACACACACAAACACACACACACACACACAAACACACACAAACACACACACACACACACAAACACACACACACACACACACACACACACTCACGAGACTGACCGCGACCCGGCCCTACTAATATTTGCAGATGGGCCACTTCTCAGTCAAGCCGCACAAGAAATCCAAATTGGCTGCTCGGACACATCCGAACCAGTCCTCCAACATCACTCGGTTGGCTTGCACCCGCAAAGTGCAGGCACCCAACCCAGGCAGCAAAGCGCAGTCGCCATCAAACTGGCAAAGCATCAAACTGGCAAAGTTGGTCCAACATCTCCAAGCCCTTCCGAGCCACAGACATCGCATCAGCACTGGTACCTCGATTCTGAAGGAAACTGGCACACCAGGCCACAAACCCTGGCACACTGGCTGCATCGACCGGAAGTTCTCTGGGTCCCTTTTCTGCCACTTCTCCCTTGTAGGAGCTCCGTCTGATGACCTGAGTGACATGTGAGAGACTTTAGCACAAGGTTGCAACAGGCATGCCCCTGAAACAGAGCAAAGCTTGCTGCCTGGCGGCATGGTAAACACTGAATTGCCAAGACGTCAGGATGGGCTTCAGCACCGGATTGTAGGATTTGTAAAACCATGCACTGAAAGCTGTCTTGTGCTTCCACAGCTCTGCCATAGAAAGCAGATGGCAATAACCATCCAGCTGAGGCATCTGGTCCACCTAGAAGGTTGAGACAAGAGAGTCTCTGGTCAATGAAAACAATCCCAAATGTTCCAAGCCCTACCTTCATTGACAGAGGCAGTGTCTGGCCCAAGCGGCAAGAACAGCCATTCGAAAGGCGTTCCTGGAGATGTCTGGCTAGATTCCTGACCTGGTTCTCTGACATCAGAAGCCTGAGCAGCATTGCTTTCCACAGCAGTGAAAGGTCGAGACGGCAGAGGCGGCGTGGGAACTGCTGCTTCCAAACCTTTCCGAGTTCTCAAGGTCAGCACAAGACATTTTATGATTCTGTCTGCCTTGCAACAGCACCTTGGCCACATCATCATGACATCGATTGCGGATGTCTTTGGCCTCAGCCTCACTTTGGACTGAAAGCAGTTGCGAGTCCACTTCATGGAGCAACTGCCGAAGCTTCTCTTGCACATCTGCTGCCACGGCCTCGCGGCGCCTAAGGCACCCCTCGGCTCCCCCAAGTGAGCAAGCCCGGAAGCGACAAAGTTGTGGTGTACCAGTCCTGCATTCATGAAGTGCCAATGGCAACATTTGCAACAAAAGGCACAACCTGAGCAAAAAGCATCTTTGTTTTTGTTGTCGCAGCAGCGTGTGGTCAGGGCTTCTGTGAAAACGCCTGGGATAAAAGCCCAGACCCAACAATGGCACAACAGGCTGTGGACCTTGACGGTACAGGTCACGAAAAGAATCAGAGCATACATACACGTCAATTGCACACGATGACTTTCTGGTCCATGTCGGCGCATCACACAAGGCAGTCGCACTTTCATGAACGCCGGCACAAAAGGAACTGAGGACTGTAGCACCACCCGCATGTCCAAACTGAGACACACCACAGCAGACCAAAGTTTTGGATCCACGTGCGTGTTAATGAAGTGCACCTCATGCCCATTGTCAGATACTCGGAAGGAATCCCCCAGGCAGGTGCCACAGTGTGGCATAAATACGAACACCTGCGGTCTGAGATCCGCTGCAGTGGTTCCTCCTCCATGTCACTATCATCGTCTTCCAGAACACGCACGGTCAGCAAACGAGTCATGGCATTGAACACTAACTAGAATGCTCCTCAGGACCTGCGGCAAAGTTAACACATCTGCGAGCAGCCCCGGCAGAGCAGGCATGGCAAGCGTCCACACGGGCTGCAAAAGAAGCAGTGACTGTCACTGACACGGTTGGTCTGCGAATAAGATCTTGATCCCACAAATCGCAGCTTGCTGCATGGAAGTACAGACTGGGCAAAAGCGATCACCACATCGACCCTATTTGTTGGTTACGCGTTTTCTTCTTTGTTAATCTACCTGCCTGTGCTGCTTTCAGATCTATGGCACCAGCAGCACTGGCTCCAGTACCTGAGCTTTCCGGAAAATGGCTTTGGCCCTTCTTCGGCAAGCTGCAACGCCTACAGATCCAACACTGTAGCAGCGCAAGCCTATCTAGAACTTAATTCATTTCATATTGAAGACTGTGGGAAACTATTTGCATTTTGATATCATCAGAAACAATGGAGACTTCCTATTCGGTTTCCTGTGAGACATGAGTTTTTATTCGGTTAACTCTAATTGATGCTGTCCTATACCCCGGAGAAAATACCGATCGCTATGTCCATGGCTGTTTCTCTATAACTGCTGTCATAGAACGTAGCGCGAAAAAAGTAGCTCTCTTCAATCTTCAAGCGACATTCCCTAGATGTGATCAGCAAATAAAAAAATTGCTTACTGGTATCTTTTGTTTAACGGGCAAGAAGCGCGAGACTTGTATCGGTTTCTATTGAAGCCCCTCACATCCTGACAAAGCGATACCGGTCCTTCTGTGTATGACTGTGGTTAGACGCTGTCATAGTTCGTATCACAACATGAAAAGGAGCTCTCTTCAGTATTCAAAGTCTAAAGGTGACATCGTGTATTTTTCTTCTGGATTAGCAGGAATCTTTGTGTCTCTTGCTTGATAGGTGATGATGGCCCAAATGAGTATCCTCAAAAATAGATGACCATTGCTATGCACATGGCTGCCTTTAATATCGACTCACAATATACAAAGGAGTTTTATTCCATGAAGTGCCATCTTACTTTGCTTTACAAGGTTAAGGAGCCTCTGCCTTGTGATTAATACGTATCAATGCAGCCAGTCGTAATAAGTCCTGCTTCATATTGGGAAAGTTGCAAGAGCTCTCTTATTTCTCGCTGCAGACGAGCCTTCTTGTGCGCCCGCATATGCATATGAACTTTACAACTCCAGGGGAGCTTTCCCTTTTTTTATGAGGCAAAGAACAACTATTGGAGTATTGCTTCAAAAATAAACGCGCCCGTATATTCGACTTCCTTCATGTATATTAACGGACAGGACATGAAAGGAGCTCTTTGTGTTTCGTAACTCATGAATCAAATGCTAGAGCTATTAGGCCGCATCAGAATCGGACGCTTCACGAGCAGCGGGAAAGAGATGGCCCACGCACACAGACGTCTTCGTAAGAGAGACAATAGTATTTTTCTTATAAGAGGAATGTTGTAAAATAGCAGACCATAAAACGCAAAAAAACACGAGGTGTCTTAGTACTACATGACAAAAATAGCGTGCCTTCTCCAACGAGATTCGGCGCCAGATTTTTACACATATCAAACCCGCGACTTGCAGCAGCACGGTTTGCATGCACATGGAGTAAAGCACGATTGTATCGGTATTTGAGGTGTTTTCGGCATATATGAGTAGTCGACCAATGTAGAGAAGCAACTTGTGGAATTGTGTGGAAGAGGCGGGTGTAGATCTTTAGGGGGGGGCGGGGGAGGTGACCATGTATGTATGTGTATGTATATATATAATATATATAATATGTATATATATATATATATATATAATATAATATAATATAATATAATATAATATAATATAATATAATATAATATAATATGATATAATATAATATAATATAATATAATATAATAATATATATATATATACATACACATACAATATGTACATATATATATATATATATATGTATGTCCACAAATTTGCACTGCTGCAAACAACTGCAACTTCAAGTTGTGCAAAACTCTTGCGTTTTGGCTACCAGATCAAGTTCCGGATAAGTTCTGGCTTTTTATAGAAAAAGCTACACAAAAAGCGGAAGTTAGCAAGTCCGGGAACTTAGTAAGTCCACCAACGATAGCAGGAGTTAGCCAGCTTATTAACCACACTTGTAACATAAGTTGGCCCGGCTTATCAGCGTAGTTAACTATATGCGGCCCTGTTCGTGGTCGAACTGATTAACTTGGTATTCCAACACATTTATTCCATGCTTGTCACTCTTGAAGTCCTGGTTGAAGGCACTTGCCTGACTGAACATCCCGTCCATGCTTGTTACTCTTGAGGTGTCCCATCTGCCAATATCTTGGTTGAAGGCAACTGCAGAGCGAAACATGAGTGACATGCTTGTGATGCTTGAGGTGTCCCAGCCACCAATGTCCTGGTTGAAGGCACTTGCAGAGTAAAACATGCTAACCATGCTCGTGACTGTTGAGGTGTCCCACATGCCAATGTCCTGGTCGAACGCACTTGCCTGACTGAACATTTGGTCCATAGTTGTGACGCTTGAGGTGTCCCAGCTGCCAATGTCCTTGTTGAAGGCAGCTGCCTTGCTGAACATGAGAGGCATGCTTGTGACGCTTGAGGTGTCCCAGCTGCCAATGTCCTGGTTGAAGGAACTTGCAACGTAAAACATGCGAGCCATGCTTGTCACTCTTGAAGTGTCCCAACTGCCGATGTCCTGGTTGAAGGCAGTCGTACCGTCGAACATGAGATCCATCCTTGTCACTCTTGAGGTGTCCCACCTGCCAATGTCCTGGTTGAATTGACCGGCACCATAAAACATGCCTGACATGCTTGTGACGCTTGAGGTGTCCCACCTGCCAATGTCCTGGTTGAAGGCATACGCAGAGTCAAACATCCAAGCCATCGTTGTCACTCTTGAGGTGTCCCACCTGCCAATGTCCTGGTTGAATTGGCTGGCACGATAAAACATGCCTGACATGCTTGTGACGCTTGAGGTGTCCCAGCTGCCAATGTCCTGGTTGAAGGCACTTGCAGAGGCAAACATGTCTTGCATGCTTGTCACCCTTGTGGTGTCCCAACTGCCAATGTCCTGGTTGAAGGCACTTGCAGAGTCAAACATGCGGTCCATCCTCGTCACTCTTGAAGTGTCCCACGTGCCTATGTCCTGGTTAAAGGTAGCTGCACCGCTGAACATGTCAGTCATGTCGGTGACGGCTGAGGTATCCCACGTGCTAATATCCTCATCGAAGGCCGAAGCCATGAACAGCCCGCTCATGTTCGTAACCAGAGACACGTTCCAGTCTGCCACCTCACCGTACTTCAGGATTATTTCTGACCTTTCTGTTGCATTCATGTGGCTTGCTTGCCATCTTGCTACCATACCGAGCAGCTCATGGAAGCTGTGGAATCCAGCCTTGGATGAGCTGTTCTCACTGGAGTCGTTGCAGCAGCTGGCGTAGGAGTCACCCACGACCGTATCTGCATGGATGACGACCAGCAGAAGATGTCGCAGCATGCCCACAGGCTGCCCACTTGGCAGGAATGGCGCGGAGGAACCTATCGTGCTCGAGCCGCCAATCCCCACACAGAGTTAGCTTCCGAAGCCCTCAGGGCTGCATCGCTTGCAGCCATCGTGGTCTTGCACATTGATCTCCTACAGCCTGTTGTGGTGCAGATTACCAATCAACGCCACCTCGGTTCAAAACGTTTGCTTGTGCTTTCGTGATACATGCTTCCTGAATCTTGATGTGTCAGGTGTAGGTCAACCGTCAAGTGCAGCCATGCACATGACAACGACAACGATGTCTGGGATTTCATCATCCTCGTCCTCATGCTAAGGCTACTAAGGTTCATCAGTGGTTCTTCAGGATCAGCATCCTCACAACTCGACATCAACTGTCATCTCCGCATCTCCCGAAAGCTCGAAGACCTAGCTAGCGCTCTCCCGGATGCGCAAGCTTTGGGATGAATATCTTTACCGAACACAGCGGAGGAGGGGAACCCCCAAGGACTGAACCAAACCCCCTAAACCCTAAACCCGGTGCCGAGCCCTACTCCCTAAGCTTTAGGAATCCTAAACCCTAGCGGCCCTAACCCCTAAACAGGCCCTAAACTCCACATGCTGACCCCAGAACCCTAAACCCCTGAACGTTAAATCCTAGTCTATAGCTCTGTGGCCTTTCCTCCACCACGGCTACCTTTAAGGCCGCGAGGGTGCACTGAGCTTTTAGGAATATGAGAACATAAGGCACCCGTTAGGGTCTATGTAGGGCATGGAGTTCAGGGTTTAGGATTTAATGTAAGATGCCTTGACATGTCAGGCTTCAGGCTTTAGGCTTCTAGGGTTTAGGGTTCCAGGCAAGGTTTACGGATGTTCAGGGTGTGAGGTTGCCTTACGGCTGTGGGCTTCAAGGCTGTGCGGAGCTGGGGCTTTAGGTTTCAAGGATTTTCGCTGCTGACAAAAATGCACTGGGTTTTAAGTTTCGCCAGAAGGCACAAGACATAAAACAAACGGCCACAACCCGGGAGAACCCACAAGTACAGTGATTTCGGTCCAGAAACTTTTGGGTTGGCGTGGCTTCGAGAATTGGACCTGTCCACGGTGGGAAATGTAATTGTCGCTAATTTACGATGCATGCACAGACCACCAAACACATGCTTCAGCCTCGACACCATGAAGTGCAGCGGAAATCGGAGTTCGCCGAAACAAGACCCAGAGCGCAGTGAATCCAGACTGATTGCCGGAAAGATGCATGTCGCCTTGGCCATTTCCGACTCAAACTCCAATCCTTCACCGTCCCCCTCAAACGGTGGGAACTATAACTATATGACATACAATCACTATCCGCATTTAAGGCTATCAAAATTTCGCCACCTCCTCACCTCCAGGAGGCGCAGCTAGCCGACGGTTGCTGAAGGATAAGGACCTGCAGGTGCCGCTAGGGATGACACAAATGCGCCGTGGCTGTCTTTCATATATAAAACAGGGGGGGGGGCTGAAACAAATAGCGAAAGACCGACATGCGAGGTGTTGCGTTTGAGATTAAAGATATTTCGCCGGCGTGTGTGGTGAACCGCTACTACTACCCGCACAAGCGTGCTGTGGCAGCACCCCAATAAGCTATAAGCGACCGTAAGCGCATTTCTGACATTGCACAGCATACTATACCAAACTTCAACAGGGCATGTGAAGCAGGACCCAAACTCGAAAGCGGAGGCCGGCAAGTAGGGGTCCGGAGTTTGTTTAAATCCCCTCCTCAATGTAAGCTGGTCAGGCGGCACTCCTCAAAGATTAAGTTAAGCCAGTACCAGCCTCTCGCTTCTCGGATTCTGGGAACTTGTAGGCCTTGCTGGCAGTCTCGTGAGTTGCCTGTCCAGGCAATTGGTGCAAACTCGGACATTGCATTTTCTAGTAACGTCTGTAGCAGATTTTGAGGCAGTGCCCGTTTTGCTTTAATGCTTCTGCGTTGGATCATAAACGAACTGCTGCCACTTTGAGTGGGGCACGGCGTCAAGGCAAGAGCCACCAACATCCCTCACATCGCAGTCGTGCGAATGCAAAGTCACCGGGCGACAAGGGTGGGCAACTGCAAGCTTCGGCAGTTTGGAAAATCTCCCTCGGCCCCGATGGGTCATCATTCGGCAACTCACTATAACCGAATTGTGCCACTTGGAATCTCTACACAAGCTTCGTGTAAGGAGTCATCGGTATACAACTCTGTCAAGTTTCTGCGGTGAGAGTCAATTTCGCGCTGAACTTTGTCTCGCACCACCTTCCCGAACCATCTTACCATAACTTCGATCACGTGCGTGTTGACTTGCTTGAAGCCCACGGTCTGTTGAATAAGCATCTTCACCTTGATCTCGTCATCTTCTTTCCATGCTCTCGCATTTCTCGCATCAACGCGGCTCACCGACTTCGTCACAGTACGGATACCTTGGAGTCCGCGACCTACCTCCAGCTCTAGAGACTCGGAAGCTTGCTGGGGCATTGCAAAGCTCACCTCAATCCCCGTTTTCGATGCCACGAATTGTTCGTACACAGTCCAGATGCGGGTTAGGTACACCGGTGCGTCCCAAGTGTCTAGGATCGCAACCATGCGCCCGATCCGTCGCAAGTTGCTCTCGAAAACTTCTTCGAGATTGTCGCTTCCTGAGCCAGTGGCCTCCACGATAATCCTAAATTGATTGTTGACAAAGAAGCACATGTAAAAGAAAACGTCCTGCGGGCCCAGCTCGGACATGCTCCTTCTGTGCATGTCTAGAGCGCTTGTGATTTGCGACAGGTGGTAGCGCCACGTCCAGGACATGAAGTGAGTTTGCTGCCGACGGTGGTTACGTGGGATCCAGTCGACAAGCGCGCAGCCCTCTCGACCATCGCGGGGACAGATCACCTTCTGCCCTATCGGGTCATCTGACAGCCAGAAGGCGTCCTTCATCTCATTGAAGGTGGGGTCGCTTTGATCCGTGCGCAGTCGCGCTAGGTCACTGAAGTCGGCCGACAGCAGGTAGCTCATGCTCACTCCGCCTGTCTGGCTCTGCAGCTTGCGGAATTCCTGGATGCGCCCAGATACTGTGGCCTTGTCAACCCCAAGCCCATGGAGCAACCTCCGGTAGTGCGTGGCTGTATCTGGGCCTTCATCCCACATGTCCTCAAACAACTGCGTCATTAGCTTCTCGGCTTTCGCAGCCCTCCTCCTGCGACGGTATGAGACCACGTAGCCCAAAGACACAATGAGCACAGCAAGGCACGTTGCAGCCGCGGGCAGGTGCCACCATGCACAGCCTCCCTCCACAACCAGGAGAGGCCACTGACAGGGCAAACATGCGTCCGAACCCCGCGGTGCATACTGGGAAGCCGAACAAGCCATGCACTTGCTTTGGTCGGGAGACGGAACCTCGTTCGGGGCGCACTGGTCGCAATTGTCAGAATCTGCCACGGAGAAGCGCCCTGCCGGGCAGGCTCTGCAGCCGAGCCCGTTCTCTGCGGATGTCCTGCCGGCGCTGCATGGCGACTTGTCAAACAGCGTCGCACCGTCCAGCATTTGGAATGTGCTGGAACCCGAAACATTCCACGTGTATAGCGCCTGGTTAAAGACGCTGGCATAGTAAAACATGTAATCCATGCTTGTGACGCTTGAGGTATCCCATGCTGCGATGTCCTGGTCGAATTGGCTGGCATTAAAAAACATGCCATTCATGCTTGTGACTCTTGAGGTGTCCCAGCCACCAATGTCCTGGTTGAAGGCATACGCAGAGTCAAACATGCCATACATGCTTGTGACACTTGAGGTGTCCCACCTGCCAATGTCCTTGTTGAAGGCAGCTGCCCTGGTGAACATGTCAACCATGCTTGTCACTCTTGAGGTGTCCCAACTGCCAATGTCCTGGTTGAAGGATCTTGCGGACCGAAACATGCTATCCATGCTTGTGACGCTTGAGGTGTTCCACCCACCAATGTCCTGGTTGAATTGGCTGGCACGATAAAACATGCCTGACATGCTTGTGACACTTGAGGTGTCCCAACTGCCAATGTCCTGGTTGAAGGCACTTGCAGAGTCAAACATGCGGTCCATCCTCGTCACTCTTGAGGTGTCCCACGTGCCTATGTCCTGGTTAAAGGTAGCTGCACCGCTGAACATGTCAGTCATGTCGGTGACGGCTGAGGTATCCCACGTGCTAATATCCTCATCGAAGGCCGAAGCCATGAACAGCCCGCTCATGTTCGTAACCAGAGACACGTTCCAGTCTGCCACCTCACCGTACTTCAGGATTATCTCTGACCTTTCTGTTGCATTCATGTGGCTTGCTTGCCATCTTGCTACCATATCGAGCAGCTCATGGAAGCTGTGGAATCCAGCCTTGGATGAGCTGTTCTCACTGGAGTCGTTGCAGCAGCTGGTGTAGGAGTCACCCACGACCGTATCTGCATGGATGACGACCAGCAGAAGATGTCGCAGCATGCCCACAGGCTGCCCACTTGGCAGGAATGGCGCGGAGGAACCTATCGTGCTCGAGCCGCCAATCCCCAAACAGAGTTAGCTTCCGAAGCCCTCAGGGCTGCATCGCTTGCAGCCATCGTGGTCTTGCACATTGATCTCCTACAGCCTGTTGTGGTGCAGATTACCAATCAACGCCACCTCGGTTCAAAACGTTTGCTTGTGCTTTCGTGATACGTGCCTCCTGAATCTTGATGTGTCAGGTGTAGGTCAACCGTCAAGTGCAGCCATGCACATGACAACCGAAAACGATGCGGCCATCTGCGTCATCGTCATCATCCTCGTCCTCATGCTAAGGTTCATCAGTGGTTTATCAGCATCAGCAACATCACAACTCGACATCACTGTCATCTCCACATTTTCCGAAGGCTCGAAATCCTAGCGCTCTGCCCAGACGTGGAAGTGCTGGCGAGTGGCCGGAAGGTTGCAGGTCGGCAAGTGTTGGAGCCTGAAGCCAGGGGTACTCGGCAGACGCTTTTCAAGTCTCAAGGGCAAGACGGGCCAGATTCGGATTGGGAATGCCAGTCGGAAATCCCGCAGAAGATTCAGCAAGACTAGGAGAAAAGGGGTGAAGCGACGGTATACCGACACATGCATATGTTGTTGATGATGGTAACCAGTTGTCGCATTATTGACTTCTTCGTGGCCTACATGCAACCAGTTCTGAGTCAAACGTTGCCAGGGCTGGGTGCAGGGCTTGCGGCGCAGGCACGCTGAGATGAACTTAACGCAGCAAGGGTACCGACACTGAAAGTTCTTTCAGCGATTAAGTTCGGGTTCCAGGCTACCAAACAGGGTATGCGGATGACTCGGTCGGAGCAACCGTTCGTACTACTAGCCACGCCAAGGATACAAAGTAACCAGTAACAGTCACAAAAATGATGGATAGGATACAGGACAGATTCAACACTTCGAGTCTCGAGTGGTGCGCCGAAATCCACTTTTACGTCCGAGGCTGCGCTCCTCAAAAACCCAACCCTCAAACCATACACTTAAGTCGCAACCCCCCGCAAATCTGGAAGAGCTTGCCTCTTTGGTAGTCTTCTGCGCCTTGGCAATCTTCAGCGCTGCAGGGATTCATGTTATTTAGGTTTCCGGGTCTTTCAAGTGGCGGTTTGGGGGGGCTTTGGGCTGCTAGGAGTGTAGCTACCAGTCGCTATGAAGGCGGAGGTGCAAGCGTATTCACTAGAGGAAGACGGAATGACATGACAACATCTCAAGCTTCACCAGCGGAGGTGCAGAAGGAAATCCGGCATCAAGCCAAGAAGGCTCAAGAGTACTCTTTCAAGACCATCCGATTAATTCTTAGATTTCTGAAGCCGTCAGTCCAGGATGGGAAAGTCATCCTGGCTTGTGGATTGCTGCTGCACTAACTTATAAATTGACCACTGAACAGTGCACGTGTAAGCTCCGCGATGAGACACTCTAGAAAGCAGAAGGTTAGCCAGAGTATCCCGAAACGTAGATTCGAAGCAGTCCATCCGAAAATGATTGCCGGAGCGATGGATATCGCCAGAGCCGCAAGCAACTAAACTCCAGGCCCCCGCCGCCGGCCTCACCCTGAAATCCGCCCCGAAGACCCAAAACCCACTCTCCATATTCCTATAATCCCGAAGTGGCCTGCAGGAGGCTGCAGCCCATTGCCGATAGCTGCTGAAAGGACAAAGGCCTGCTCTTTTGCCGCTCATGCCGCATCCAGAGATGGACAAAAAACAACTACGGCTGATATTTCAAGACGCCATGGGCGAGCAAACTTTGGAAGGAACGTCATCCCGAAAACCCAACGCGGGAGACAGAAGGCTTGATGACTGGAGGTGCCCCAACCAACCGATTCCTGGAACTTCAGCCCTTCAGATCCGCTTTCCCACTACATGTGCGGCTGTCGGCACGAACCTACACACATCTGCCACCCCCGTGCTTTCTTGAGTGGCTTCAGGGGTCAGGTTCTGTTTATCATAAACTTACTGGCGTGCCTATAACCTTCTGTTTTGTGCCAGAGCCCGCAACATCACTGAAGCAAGCGTTGCTCGCCAACGGACAACGGAGTTTACTGTTTCGGGGCCCACAATTCGGTCGGTCATGACTGTACTAGCTGCGAGTTCTGCCGGCATTTGTCACTACTGCTTGTGATTCTGTTAAAAAGGAACAGGATTGGAACGACCAGTACTCACGATCAGTACGACCGAGAATTATACAAGAGCAAGTGCAGGGCTTCAGTAAGACATCCATCAGCAAAGGGACACCGCAGCATGGTGCCTTTAGCGCAGCATGTCACCGACTCAGGCTCCCTGTACCCTTACGGAGACATGGGGCTATACGGTTTACGGTTTAGGGTTTAGGGAACCGCCAGAATAAACGTAACTAGCAGTCCTCACGGATCCAGAACTCTCGGGATAAACAGGGTCTCGGGTTTGGGCTTGTCGGCTCAGTGCCTTCTCGAGCTATGCTGTTTTATGGTTATATTAAGGCCAAGCAAGCACAAATTCTGTGACGGTCGTCGCTTCTGGGCCTTGACCTTGCCATGCCCCCTCGGATCTGCCGACACTTGCAGGAATAAAATGAATTCGGGCTGAAATCCTCGGCCAGGTGTTGTCGCTCTGGAATCTAGATACCATAGCGGGGCCGCCCCAGAATCAACAGTCACGCGGCCGTGCTGCGATTCTGGCGTTTTGTCGTCTCTATCTAGCTCATTTCAACTTGAGCTTCTACGACTGCTACCACTGCCACCACGACTACCACTGCTACCGCTGCTACTAGTACTACTGCTGCTGCTGCTGCTACTACTACTGCTACTACTGCTACTGCTACTGCTACTGCTACTGCTACTACTACTACTACTACTACTACTACTACTACTACTACTACTACTACTACTACTACTACTACTTCGACTACCACTACCACCACGACTACACAACTACGACGATGACGACGACTACAACAACAACTACTACTGTTACTACCACTACTACTAGTTCTACTTCTCCTACTGCCACTCCTACTACCACCCCACCTTCTACTCCTACTCGCTGCTGCGACCACCACTCCCGCCTCTGCTTGGCTGAGTCGGGATGTCAACGTCATGTCCGGTCGACAGCCAACTTATTCCTGACGAGCGGGCACAGAAGCGGCGAACAGTGGGAACGTCTAGATACCAACTCCTTGCTGGAGCCACGGCAGCAGCAAAAGCTAGCACACTGAGACGACTGCGGCGACTACACTTGCCACAAGGAGGCCTTGCCCACATAGCATGCGAGCAACCCAGCACCGCAGCCTTGAACTTACTCGTGCCAGTCGTGCAACGGCTGCCAAGTGTAATTACATACTGACGCGACCATGCAGTTTCTTTAGTTTATGCGACTACACGGCGAAACGCAGACGAGGGCGATGAACAAAGCTTGGGGCCTCGATGCCGACAACTAGCATTTTTACAATGCGAATGTGATTGGTAGGCAAGTAACAGTGAATTCAATCCGCATGACACATCCACGTTAACCTCGAGCAAATAGTATTGTCCGGAGTGCATCTTCAGGTTGCATCGGTTGGGATGCGACTGTGCAAAACGAGCAACCATCGCAGCAACTGCATTGCGACAGCTGTGCTCCAGGGGCGCTGCAGCGATTGCGAGAGCCAGCAACTGCATGGGGGACCTGGCAGGATCCCTTCGACAACTGTTCCCTTAACTCTTGATGTGCTAGACCAAACCTCGATGCCACATCATCAGCACCACCATCATCATCCGCACCGTCACCATGAAGCTCATCATAAGCATCCTCCTCATCACATTTCAAGTCTTATTCAGCATCTCTCGATTTTCTTCATCATCAACATGAGCATCAGCATCAGCGTCAGCGTCACGAGCATCACCATCACCATCAACACCAACAGCATCAACATCAGCATCATAATCAGCATCATCAGCGTCTTCCTCCTCCTCCTCCTCCTCCTCCTCCTCCTACTCCTCCTCCTCCTCGTCCACCTCGTCATCATTGGCCAGCATCACCATCATCTGTAGCAACAGCATCAATATCACCGTCGTCACCACCATTATCACCATCAGCATTGTCACCATTACCAACAACTAACGTCATCGTCCTCCCCATTTGTACTACTCTACCAAGATGAAACAAATAGCGGTAGTCAAGAATGTAATCAACAATAGACCATAACATGTAATACAAGGCTCGCATGAGGATGGTGTAGATGGTTAGAGGAAGAACCTTAAACGCTGCACCCGAAAGTATTGAGACTAATGGTTTTGCAGAGGTTTGGTGAGCAAGCTCGTCTGCGCAAAGCTCTTTCCGATGCCGGCATAAATATAAATATCTAATGTAGGGCCGTAATGACGAAACGTAGATTGGAATCAGTCCACCCGGGAACATTTGCGGAATCGATGGATGTCACCAAGGTCTCAAGCACCTACACTGCAGTGCCTCCCCGTCGCCCTCACCTACTACATACTAGTACTACTAGTACCACCAGTCGTCCAAGTACTGCTGATGCATTCAGCACTGGTGGTACTGCTGCTGCGGCTGCTGCTGCTATCCAAGGGAACCGTGAGGGGTTACTCTAAGGGTTTAGTCGAGAACCTTGAACAAGTAGATTAGGGGGATTATTGCATGTGACCCCGAAACCCAAATCTTCAGCCACCTGCCAAGCCCGCCACGTCACCACTTTGGAGATTGCAGCTCTGGAGGCTGCGCGGGGATGGCCTAAAGAGGAGGAGCGTGCTATACTGAAATTTGCGGGCTTGCCGAAAGGAGGACGTTTCTACAAGGGCCTTAACAATTAGAAGAGGGTTTGGGGATATATCCGCCGAGGCCAGAGGCCCAGGAGTCTTGGGGATTACCTCAAGTACGCTCCACCTAATCCTTGTAGTTTGCAGTCCGAAAGTTTGGAACAACCCATTTTTCGTTCATTTCCCATCCCCCACCCGGCTTCCTGCAGTTTGCTTTGTTTTCCGGCCCTGCCTCCTGCCCACTTCCCGGCCCTGCCTCCTGCCTGCCCCCCCTCCGGCGCGGTCCTGCCGCCGGCGTCTCGAAGTGCGCTTGCAGCAGCGCGTCGGACGCTGGCAGGCGTTTGCCGGGAGATCGAGATGCGCGCCGTGCTGCGCGCGAGCTGGATCTTGGAGCGCCCGGGTGCCGGCCCCCTGCCCCAACCCTCTGCCCCGCCTTTGTCCAGGCTCGGCGTGGTCCTCCCTGCTCTGCCTCTGCCTCCCTCCCTCTACTTCCCCACCCGCCTTTCCTTTTCCTGAGGAGCCCAGGCGGCCGGCGTAGCGTTAAAACTATACAAGAAAATTATCAGGACCCCCCCCCTATGAAAAGATAGTATAGGCAATTAATAAGGCCCCTGTAGTTCCTTAATGTTGAAGCTGGCTCATGAGAGGCTTGGGACCCTATACTCGCAAGATCCGCTGCCCAAAGCCATTTGAGGATTTCAGATAGGTGTAGTACAGTACCGTAGGGTTATTTACTATAGTTTAACTAAAGAATAATATAACTTATTGTTGTTTAGTCTAGTATGCCACTCCTTTAACAGTAAGAAGCCCTAAGCCCAAACCACGACTTAAGAAGCCTCTGCAAGCCTCGTTCTCCTGCTCCGGGGTGTCGAAGGCCTCTCCAGGCAACTGGTGTAAACTCGGGCGCATATACGCGACCTTCAGTTTCAATAGTGTTCCTGTATGTAAAGGGTTCGTACAAGGATTTCTACCGGGGTTTAAATACCTTAAATACAGTATAATTAGAATCGGGTTAGGGGGCATATATTGCAAATTAGAATCAGGAACCTCGAAATGGTATTGGTATTTATTTAGACCCCTATGGTATGCAAGGTTGAGACGCTGCCTTTGTTGAAGCAACTGCATAAGATCATAACTCGCTGCCGCCACTTCAAGTGGGGCATGGCGAGAAGGCACTGCCACAAGAGCCCATCGCATCGCAGTTGCGCGAATGCAAGGTCACGCGGTGCCCAGGGCGGGAAGCTACCTGCGTGGCAGTTCGGAAAATCGCGCTGGGCCCAAATGGGGCATTCTGAAATACGTATAGTTATTTCAACCAACTCATCCTCGCAATTGATCGAGCTGATGTAGGCAAGGACTCAAAACTCTATGTAGTCTTCCTTTAAGCAGACATCGGATACGACTCCGTCAAGCTTCTGGTGCGGTGCGAGTCGATTTCGCGCTGAACTTTGTCTCGCACCACATTCCCGATCCATGTCGCCATGACTTCCGTCACATGGCTGTTGACATGCTTGAAGCCCACCGTCTGTTGTATAAGCATCTTCACCTTCATCTCGTCCTCCTGGTACCATGCTTTCGCATTCGCTGCGTCAACCCGGCTCACCGACTGCGTCACTCGGCCGATGCCTTCGCCTCCTTGACTTACCTCCAGCTCCAGTGTCTCGGAAGCCTGCTGGGGCATTGCAAAGCTCACCTGAATCCCTGTTTTCGATGCAACGTACTGTTCGTACACGGTCCAGATACGGGTCAAGTACACCGGTTCATCCCAAGTGTCCAGGATCGCGATCATGTGGCCGATCCGTCGCAAGTTGCTCTCGAAAACTTCCTCGAGATTGTCGCTTCCTGAGCCAGTGGCATCCACGATAATCCGGAATTGATTGTTGACGAAGAAGCACATGTAAAAGAAAATGTCCTCCGGCACCAGCTCGGACATGCTCCTTCTGTGCATGTCCAGAGCGCTTGTAAGTTGCGACAGGTGGTAGCGCCACGTCCAGGACATGAAGTGAGTTTGCTGCCGACGGTGGTTACGCGGAATCCAGTCGACAAGTGCGCAGCCCTCTCGACCATCGCGGGGACAGATCACCTTCCGCCCTATCGGGTCACCCGACATCCAGAAAGCATCTTTCATGTCATTGAAGGTCGGGTCTTTTTTATCCGTACGCCTTCGTGCTAAGTCACTGAAGTCAGATGAGAGGAGGTAACTCATGCTCACTCCGCTTGTCTGGCTCTGCAGCTTGCGGAACTCCTGGATGCGTTCGGATACTGTGGCCTTGTTCACTCCAAGCCCACGGAGCAACCTCTGGTACTGCAAGGCTGTATTTGGGCCTTCGTCCCACATGTCCTGAAACAACTGCGCCATCAGCTCCTCGGCTTTTGCAGCCCTCCTCCTGCGACGGTGTGAAGCCGCGCAGCCCAAGATCACAATCAACACAGAAAGGCAGCCAGCAGCTGCGGGAAGGTGCCACCACGCACAGCCTTCCTCCACAACCAGGAGAGGCCACTCACAGGGCAAACATGTCTGCGAACCCCGCGGTGCATACTGGGAAGCCGAACAAGCCACGCACCTACTCAGGTCTGGAAACGGCACCTCGTTCGGGCCGCACTCTCCGCAAGTGTCAGAATCTGCAGAGGAGAAACGCCCTGCCGGGCATGCTCTGCAGCCGAGTCCATTCTGAGCGGATGTCTTGCCAGCAGCGCACGGCGACACGTCAAAAAGCACCGCACCTTCGAACGTGAATGTGGTAAGGGCGCCTGAAACATTCCACGTGTATAGCGCCTTGTTAAAGACGCGAGCAAACTGGAACATGTAGCTCATGTCTTGGACATTTGAGGTATCCCATCCTCCGACATCTTGGTCGAAATTGCTCGCACTTTGGAACATGCCAATCATTCTGGTGACTCCTGAGGTGCTGGTTGAAAGCAGTTGCCCCGCTGAACATCCTGTCCATGTTTGTGACACTTGAGGTGTCCCACCCACCGATGTCCTGGTTGAAGGCAACTGCATCCCTGAACATGCTTTGCATGCTTTTGACTCTTGAGGTTTCCCAGCTGCCAATGTCCTGGTTGAAGAGACTTGCGCCACTTACCCCATAGAACATCCAGTCCATGCTTGCTACTCTTGAGGTGTCCCAGCTGCCAATGTCCTGGTTGAAAGAGCTTGCTCCGCAGAACATCCACTCCATGCTTGTGACGCTTGAAGTGTCCCACCTGCCAATAGCCTGGTTGAAGGTACTTGCAGAATAAAACATGCTTTCCATAGTTGTGACTTTGGAGGTGTCCCAGCTGCCAATGTCCTGGTTGAAGGCACTGGCGCCCTTGAACATCCTGGCCATGCTTGTGACGCTTGAGGTGTCCCACATGTCAATGTCCTGGTTGAAGGCAACTGCACCTTCGAACGTCTCACTCATGGAAGTCACGGCTGAGGTGCTCCATCCGCCAATGCGCTTGTTGAACACATTTGCATAGTAAAACATGTTATCCATGCTTGTGACTTTTGAGGTGTCCCAGCTGCCAATGTCCTGATTGAAGGCGCTTGCGTAGTAAAACATGCTATCCATGCTCGTGACCTTTGAGGTGTCCCACCCACCAATATTGTGGTTGAAGGCACTTGCAGACAAAAACATGCTCCCCATGCTTGTGACGCTTGATGTGTCCCAGCTGCCAATGTCCTGGTTGAAGGCACTTGCCTGACTGAACATCCCGTCCATGCTTGTTACTCTTGAGGTGTCCCATCTGCCAATATCTTGGTTGAAGGCCTTTGCACCGTTGAACATGTTGGTCATGTCGGTGACGGCTGATGTATCCCACAGGCCAATATCGTCGTTGAATTCCGAAAGCATAAAAAGCCCACGCATGTTCGTCACCAGAGACACATTCCAGTCCGCGACCTCCCCGTACTTCAGGACTATCCTTGACCGTTCCTCTGCATTCACTTTGCTTACTTGCCATCTTGCCACCATATCGCGCAGCTCCTGGGGGCTGCGGAATGCAGCCTTAGATGAGCTGTTGTCGCTGAAGCATCCAAGACTTGCCCGCTCACAATACTTCAAGCCGGCATCGATGCATTGGGTCTCCCACCGCTCGTTGCAAGGGCAGCCGTCCTCCGCCGTGGCGCACGTCACCGACTGCAAGCTACTACCCCAGTCGACCTCCCCTGTTGCATCGTAGGCGTATGTGACCTGGGCTCTTGCTAAGGAACATGGTTTCAGTTTCCATAAAAGGACACCACATTTTAGTGCTATAGGCTCTATGTTGGTAATTTCAAAGAACTTCCTTCAAAAGAACCCAGTCACGCAGACTAGCTGAGCGATGGAACACCCGAAGGGACCGGAGCCATCTCCCGAGCAGCCCGTGCAGTCGCCGGAAGAGTTGCCTAGGGCCCAGGGCAGCGTAAGAAAAGATCAGGACCGGCAGAAGCTGCAACATGACCTCAGGCACCTCAATTTGCGCAAAAATGCACCGAGGAGCCCTTCCTTGAGCCGTGGGAGTCTGCCGAAGCTCAAAGGGTAGACTGCTTGCGGCTGACGCGGTCTTGCAGCGCATTACGTGCAGGACTCCCTAGCAGGACCAACCAACGATCCAGCTTGCATTCGGCAGTTGTGCTCCAGGTGCCCGGGCGCTTCAGCGATTGCGAGAGCCAGCAACTGCATGTGGAGACCTGGCAGGATCCCTTCAACAGCTGTTCTCCTAACTCTTGATGTAACAGAGCTAGCCTCGCTGTCACATCATCAGCACCACCATCATCATCCGCACCGTCATCATGAAGCTCATCATAAAACATCCTCCTCTTCATATTTCAACTCTTATTCAGCATGTCTCGATTTTCTGCATCATCACATGAGCATCAGCATCCGCGTCAGCGTCACGAGCATCACCATCACCATCATCACCGACAGCATCAACATCAGCATCATCAGCGTCTTCCTCCTCCTCCTCCTCCTCCTCTTCCTCCTCCTCCTCCTCCTCCTCCTCGTCCACCTCGTCATCATTATTCACCATCACCATCATCTGTAGCAACAGCATCAATACCACCGTCATCACCACCATTATCATCATCATCATCATCATCTTCATCATCATCATCATCATCATCATCATCACTTGTCATCATTATCAACAACTAACATCATCGTCCTCGCCATTTCTACTACACCAAGATGATAGTGGTAGTCAAGAATGTAATCAACAATATACCATAACATGTATTACAAGGCTCGCATAGATGGTGAGAAGAAGAACCTCAAACGCTACACCTGAAAGTGTTGAGACTAATGGTTTTGCGGAGGTTTGGTGAGCAAGCTCGTCTGCGCAAAGCTCTTTCCGATGCCGGCATGAATATAAATATCTAATGTAGGGCCGTAGTGACGAAACGTGGATTGGAATCACTCCACCCGAGAACATTTGCGGAAAGCGATGGATGTCAACAAGGCCTCAAGCACCTACACTGCAGTGCCTCCCCGTTGCCGTCACCTACTACATACTAGTACTGCTGGTAACACCAGTCGTACTAGTACTGCTAATACTTTCAGCACTGGTCGTACTGCTACTGCTGCTGCTGCTGCTGCTGCTGCTGCTGCTGCTACTACTACTACTACTACTAGTACTACTACATAATCTTACAGCCCTAGTAGCAAAATCTCACCTTCCGAAATCCCACACTTCGGTCCTAAACCGGCTCGAAACCGAAATCCCACAATGCGGAAGGCTTGAACTTTTTCCTCCGCAGCTTGCTCAGACGTAGCCCTCGCGCAGCCAGTCCTGGTTGTGGAGTGGACAAGAAGTGAGTGCAGTGGAGGAGTCTGAGCAACCATGCCGGGGAATAGCGATACCAAAAACGGAGAACAGAAATAGTTGAAGAGTCATATTGCAACTTACCGTATCAAGAGCCCTGACTCAGCCCCAACTTTTTGAAGCCACCCCAAACTCTCAACCCTGAAGCTGTAGCAAACCCAAAGCCCAAACCCTGAACCCCAACTTACATACGAACTCCCAGAGCTCTTTAAAATCCTAAAGCCTAATGTAATTAGAATAGGGTTTCGGGGGCTCCTCATGACAATTATAGGATCATATACCCCCAAACCCTATTCGAAAGATTAAGGCCCCCATATTAAACCAGCTATTCAACTCCTTAAACCCCTAAAACCTCTAAACCCCGAACTCCAAACGTGCAGCCCGCGGATCTGGAAGCAGTTTGCCTCTTTGGTAGTCCTCCGCACCTTAGCTTAGATCCCCAAATGCCTAAGGCTTTATGGGGTTCCTTTAAAGGGTTCCTTCAAGGGATCGAACTTAGATTCGCACCTTAGCTGCAGCATAGAAGGACTTGAGGGATTCGACTCTTTAGGGTGTTTTTGGGGGTTTAGGGGTTTAGGGTTTAGGGGTGTAGGGGTTTAGGGGTTAGGGGTTTAGGGTTTAGGGGTTTAGGGATTCATGGATTTCGGGGTTAGGGTTAGGATTCTGGGATTCAGGAGATACGATTTAGGGTGCAGGGCTGTAGGGCTTTGGGTTTCAGGCTTCCAGGCAAAGAACAGAGGTTTAGTCTAGTGCTTCAGGGTTATGGATTTAGATTCCAGGCTGCTTGTGACAGTGCCCCTGAACCCAACGGAAAACCCTTTCCCGGGAAGCTGTACGAGCCTTATAACCACTAACGCTTGAAAACTATGCAACCCTTATCAACCCTAAGCCCTAGCCCTCATCCTTACACCGTAAACCCCTCCACCTGAAGCGTTATCCCTAGAACATTAAAATTGAAACCCTAAACCACGAAGTTGGAACCCATCAACAACCCCCCCCCCCCAAACCCCTAAACTTCTTGCTAAGACGCTCAGGTCGGGTGCTCCCTCGAGAGCACCGAAGACCGCTGCGCCGGTCCTCCACGATAGGTTTCTAAGAGAGTTCCTTGAAAGACCGCTAAGTACGCGTGGAACATTGTTATGTATCAGATGTGGGTAGTTCTTCTCGATATTGACCTACTCGATTTCGAGCCATGTTCTCTCCTATCCGATAGCCCCACTGCATTGCGCACATTGAGCTTCTTATTCTTCTTTTTCCGCTGAATCGAGGTACTTCCTGGTCCCCTGCGTTGAGAGCATGTATTTCGGTTGTATATCATGCATCTACACACAGAGTATATGGCCGTCTGGGTGCATAGGGGGGGAGTATCCATCCATCCATCCATGTATATATATATATATGTATGTATGACAGAGACACATGAACACACAAGCAAAAACATTTGTTACATGTGCATACACGACATGGCCTCTCTCTCTCTCTCCCTCTCTCTCTCTCTCTCTCTCTCTCTCTCTCTCTCTCTCTCTCTCTGTCTACACACACACATGTATGCATACTGCATACCCTACATGTATATATATATATATATATATATATACATACATACATATATACATACACACACACACACACACACAAACTAAACCCTGCACCCCCGTCCAGGCGGCACAGATGGGTGCGAAATCCAGGGGCGTGAAGCGCAGGCGCGACGTCAGCGCCTGCAGGGCCTGCGCTGCAGGGCTCCCCTCAGGGTCCATGGTAGCCGACCATAAGGGTTCTTTCGGGGTCTCACAAGGGTTCCTTTAAAGCGTTCTGTAGGATTCTTATAAGGGCTCTCTTAATTAAAGGTTCTATGGGGTTCTTATCAAGGTTGCTTTAGGGGTACTTCAAGGTTCTGTAGGGTTTAAGGTTTCGGGTTTGGGCAACGGGGCGTCTCTCGACAAACTGCACGGGGCGTCACTACATTAATTGAGCTACAAAAAGTAGGGTTCCCATAAATCTTATATTAGGTTTGTAGTATGTAAGAACTTACAAAGTAGTAAGTAGGTGTTATGGTGGCTTAAGGTTGGGTTTGTAGCAACTTAGGACTTCGTACAGAAGCTGTTTTTCGGAGGGCTGAAGATTCGGGAGCTGGGCTCACTTTTACAGCAAATCGCAGTCGTCGGGGCCCGCGACAGATGCAGGATATGGCAGTTGGTAGTGCACGTAGATTCTTCGGCATTCGCGATGTGTTGAGCCGTTGGCTTCTCCGCAAGGACCTCAGCACCACTCCATGCTGCATGCCCTGAATGCCGCAACTCCTGAACTCTGACAACCA